GGCTGATCAACGTCGAAAGGTGGAGGCAGCTATTAAGGAAAGCAAGCCACTGGTCTCGGACCTGGGTGACTTTAAAGATGAGGTGGCCACCTACCGGTCAAAAACGAAACAGCTGAGGGCGGTAAGTCTGATCAAACTTGACTCTTATTCTGATGACATACTTTACCCCCAAGTCTTAATCTGATTTTCAGTGACCGATTTGTTGGCACAATAAGCCTCATTTGGTTTCCCTGTAGGTTACGTTGTTTGTTTTCAGCCACGCGATAAATGCGCTGGGCCGACTTAGCTGCCAAATCAGGGTGCGGTGGGCGTTATTGTGGATGCGCGTACGCGAAACAAATGAAACGCATAGCGGGGGGCTGTGGTGGCACGGCTAGGCGCAGGCTCACACCGCCAGCCACCTGTACCCGATCCCTCCTCCGATATTCGTAATTCTATATTGACACCGGACCCAGGAGGGTAGATAGGGAAGGGAGTACGGCAGATGCAGAGCAAGTCCATTATCTATTGATTCACGCGCATGTTGCCGTCCTTGTGTCCACTCTGCTGTGGGCTCACACTGGACAGCGTCAGACTAAGGATCTAGGCCTGGTATTTACAAATTGGTGCAACTCTTTCGGCAGGGAATAAATTATTCAGGCCTATTGACTGGTTGGCTTGGTTATTGTTCACATACGAGGCATTTGAATGTCCTGCTACGTTTTGCTAGCTAGAGCCAGCGTCTAACCCTGACCTACGCTGATTATTGTATCCAATGTGGCAATGAGCCCAATCCCAGCACCAGTTTGCGGACATGTTCGGACAGCCGACTAGTGGATGGGAGATGGAGGAATAGAGCTTGAGCTCGAGATTGGGGTACGCATAGAGTGGCTGTTTAGCTTTTTCCAACAAATGTGTCCGAGCTCGTATCCGGTCGTTTTACCGCTGTCACGTCATCGGATTCAGACGGTTCTGCAGTTTTGACTAATTCATGCGCAAGTTACTGTCATGCGCATGTCTTGGATATTGTCGTCCGCGGCGGTCCGACTGTTACTAGGTGCTGACTAAGGCTGGTAGTTAGTTTGATTGATTGGCATTCATGGGGAGCGTCTACCTGCATAAGCCAGCCCCATTATAAACTAATTCACGCACAAAACGCCAGCGCTACGCCAACCGGTCCGTGGATCACACGATGCATGTTGTTTCGACATTGTTTTGCAATCGGAGCAAGGTAAAAGAGTGTGGTAGATGCTATAAAAACCTGTCAGTATTGTGCCTAATCCATGGAGCACGTGGTTGACTTCGCCATTAGCGACGGTATAACTGTAGTGTAGACGGGGGTTTCTTACTACCTCATTTATTACCTGCATACTCAGTCCCGGTTGTCTTGACGTGATCGTGCCCGTAGATCTCGGTGCGATCGAGAAGAGAGGGAGGTCCATTCAACGCCCTCTCACTGTACTACACTCCACAATATTCACGTGGCATAGAGAAAATCGCCATCTTCGGCAAACGACTAATGAAAGACGCTTCATGCAATTGGTTGTTATAAAATAGACTGCTTGTACACAATTTCTCTGTA